ATGAAAAGGTATACTCAAAAAAGTTTCAATCCCTTCCTTACTGTTTTTTCCCATTCCTCCTTCTTTCCCCCCTGTTTCTTTCTCATTCACCTCCCACAGGTAGCCAATGATTTTTAGTTTTTGGTTTATCATTTCTATATTTCTTGTGCACAAATGAATAAAAAATTGTGTGTTTTCTTATATTCCCTTCTTTCTCAGGAAAGGTCATTGTATTTTGTATATTCCTTTGGACTTTGCCTTATCACTTAAATGTATATCCTGGAATTTATACTAGTTCATAGAGATCTTAGTTAGTCATTTTTGTAGCTGCATATTACTACACTGTGTAAATGCATCCTACTTTATCCAACCACTCTCTTATGTAGGGGCATTAAAGTTGTTTGAAATATTTTATAATTCCAAATATTGCTGTGATAAATAACCATGGTTGTGCAAATCACAGCTTTAATTATTGACTTAAGTAAAAAGAAAACAATTTTGAAGATAATATATAGTCCATCTATCTAGTATAAAGTACTTCTTTTCCAAACTCTGTCTTTAGTGAAACAATCATGATAACATTATATTAAAATACAGAAATTCAGAATTAAGCTCTTCAAGAGAAGAACTGTGAGGTAAAAGCAACCAAGCACAATCTTCTCTTTTCTTTCAACTTTTCTGCAAAGCACATTGTTCTCCTTAGTTCATAGTTATATTTGTAGCTGCATATTACTGCTATCATGTCCAAAATAAAAGCAATTAGCGTGTCCCCCATTTTCCAATACTCAGGGTACCTTAGAGACTTTAAAAATGCCAATGATAAGAAATTACTTTCTTAGCTCATTAAAGAATAACATACTTGATAATATTTTATGACTATAAAAGCTCAAGAAATTGCACAAGGAAGACATACTATCACTGTAGACATGTGAATAGGCACAGCAGAAATGTCTTTTACTTAGGGACCTAAAACAAAGAATTGTGTATATAACTAAAACTACATGCAGTGAAAACTGGTATTTTATATTCTATTCTAATTCCCTAAAAAGAAAAATAATTTGGCCTTGACAACTAAATTGATTTCACAACTTTTCATGCGTGTTCAGACCTGAAGTTTGAGAAAACACTGTTTAATAAGCATACATGCTTTGAAGTAAAACCAATGTGCCCTGGAATCTGGAATGTACCTCTTACCATTAGTTTTCTCAAGATAACTTCTTAACCTCTGCATGTCCATTTCCTCCTATATAAAGTGGAGATACTATCCATAACAGAGGATTCTTACACTGATTAAGTAAGAATGCAGGTAGCTCAGGCTGCAGCCCAGTTGTAGTGGAAAAAAAAAAAAATTTGCAGATAGCACATAGTACAGTAGCCAACAAATGGAAAGGATAACGATCATTAAAAATGATAAAAAGGATAAGGAATGTAGATGCTGTACTAGAGGATTCAAGTAGTTCACAGAAAGCCAAGGTTCAGTCTACCTTCTGTGGTTGGAAAATAATGACTTATTGGATGATTACTTACTCTCCTTTCTCCTTCTTCAGCCCACTATAGTGGCCAGGCAGGTGTGAATTAAAGGAAGTCAAGATTGGACTAATGCTGACCCGTCTTTCCAATATATGGTCATATTCAGCATGGATATCATTTCTAAGATCTCCATAAATCCATGGGAGAACTCACATGACAGGAAGCACATTTGCCCTGTTGGTCATCTCTAGTGAGTTCAGCAGAGCTCCCAAACTTGGCCCGGCATAAGAGTGACATGAGAAATCTGATAAATATTCAGATTCTGAGGACCTACTGAAGAGTTATGACATCAGAATAATCTTGAACAAGGTCTCATAATCTGTTTAAAACACATGCATGACTGGGTGGCTCATGCCTATAATCCTAGCAGTTTGGGAGGCCAAGGCGGGTGGATCACTTGAGGTCAGGAGTTCAAGACCAGCCTGACCAACATGGTAAAACCCTGTGTCTACTAAAACTACAAAAAATTAGCTGGGTGTGGTAGTGGGTGCCTGTCATCCCAGCTACTCAGGTGGCTGAGGCAGTAGAGTTGCTTGAACCCTGGAGGTGGAGGTTGCATTGAGCCAAGATCTTGCCACTGCACTCCAGCCTGGAAAACAGAGCGAGACTCCGTCTCAGTCTCAAAAACAAACAAAACACATGGGCCAGGCGAGGTGTCTCAAGCCGGTAAATCGCAGCACTTTGAGAGGCCGAGGTGGGTGGATCACCTGATATCAGGAATTGGAGACCAGCCTGACCAACAAGGTGAAACCCTGTCTCTACTAAAAATACAAAAGTTAGCTGGGCGTGGTGGCAGTCACCTGTAATTCCAGCTACTTGGGCTTTTGAGACAGGAGAATTGCTTGAACCCTGGAACCGGAGTTTGCAGTGAGCTGAGATAGCTTCACTGCACTCCAGCCTGGGTGACAAGAGCGAAACTCCATCTGAAAAAACAATAATAAAATAAAAAATAAGACATATGCATGAACATGTGTGTGTGCACACACACCTAGTTCTGAGATAGCCAGCCCACTGATCAATAAGAAAGTGAGGCCTTTTGTTATTGTTCATATTTCATCACCAACAAATATCAAATAGATGCTTGATTTAATAGTGGCCAGTCCTCAATCTCTGTCACCCAGGCTCAAGAGTACGTTCACTGCAACCTCCAGCTTCCTGGTTCAAGGAATTTTCCTCCCTCAGCTTCCCAAGTAACTGGGATTACAGGCGCATGGACACCACCATACCTGGCTAACTTTATTATTATTATTATTATTATTATTTTAGCAGAGATGGGGTTTCAGCATGTTGGTCAGGCTGGCCTCGAACTCCTGATCTGAGGTCATCCATTCGCCTTAGCATCCCAAAGTGCTGGGATTACAGGCGTGAGCCACTGCTCGCAGCCCATGCATTTCGAGGCAGAGACAGTGGTTGCAGTGAACAGAGATCCCGCCATTGCACTCCAGCCTAGGTGACACAGTGAGACTCTGTCTCAAAAAAAAAAAAAAAAAAAAGAGAGAAAGAAAAGAAAACACACCACAGTTTAAGGGGCAAGCAGTGGAAACTGAAAGACCACAGAATTTGGAGTTTAACTCCTTCCTAGCCATGACACTGGATAAAGTGAGGCATGTGAAAGCAAACTTCCATGTGTTGTGTAACTTTCAGCCATTTACAGGAGTGGTTTTTGTTGTCATTAAATAGGTATAATGTTACCATTCTGGAATCAAATGCCCATATAATCAGTTTCCCTAGTATGTTTTGGAGATTTATCCATCTCCCTTTTTATTTCAATAAACACCAAAGGACATATTTACTTTTGCACTGCTGTGCAATAATTAAATTTTATTTACACATGAAGATATTAAAAACATTGATAATTTACATCACTTTTATACCAAATTCAACATTAAACAGTATTGTGTTGACACATTTCACTCGTGTTATATCAAAATTCTATATTCTCTTTATTTCAGTAGCAGAATTTTTGTCTGGAGATTTTGGGCAATGAAATTAAAATTTAAAGTGATATCAAACGCCATATTACAATCAGCCACGTCCACAGAACAGTATCATATCAACTTATAGCATTGGGCAAAATTTTATTTTGTTTCCATGATAAGTGGCTTGTAGTTCCACCCATACTGTTCCAGCCATACCGTTATTCAGAAATAATTCTTTTAGTTGGGCTTTCATTGCCAACCTACATACACTCTTCTTGGTTGGGCAACTACCTAAAGAGATTTACTCAGACATTGTTCAAAGGATGTTTTCAGAGGGCAATGATTTATAATAGCTTAGATAGACTCTCAAAGCTCTGCTTCTGAGATCGAAATTTGAACTTGTCATTTAATCACTACATGTCACTTATTTTTCTTTCTATTGCGTTCTGCGAAGCGTTGGGATACAGTCTTCAGGGGGATTGAAACCATACATGGTGAGTGGACTAGTCATTCCTCAACTATTCAGTAATAATAGCGGCTGGGCTTCTCTAATAATGGGAGTACATATGTTTCAATATACAGTTCTTATTTATTTTCCCTTATTATCAATGTTTGAATTCCAGCTCTAAGCTACTTTATTGCAATTTGGTTCTGAAGCATATGCCAAAAGCACTCAGCAAGGCTGCAGACAAATGCTTTAAAGAAAAGTGCACCTCCACTTCCAGTGACTTTATGAATATCACATTCGAAAATTAATCTTTTTTCAACTCTGTACCCTGAGTATATTTTGGACTTCCCTTCGTTCCCAAATACCCTGAATTCAAGGTATTTCAATCCATGGAGCAGTTGTCCAGAGAAGAGAGAAGCAACAGCCCCGCCCCCAACCCTTGGGAGCAGAAAGGGAAAGAATTATCCAAAGGAATTGTTTTAAAACTCAGATATAGCGGACAGATGTAAAACTATGGCTGCATAGATTGATGTCCCAGGGGTCCAAAACTTAATGTCAAATGAGGAATAATTTGTTTAGCATTAAACTAAACCAGTTTGATGAACTCAAATGCCCTCGGCTCAATAGGCAGGACTCTCCGAGGAGCCTGTGTTACTTCCCTCACTTAAGTGCAGATTTGTAATAAAAATCTTAATGCCAGTGGCATGCTTTTTGGATATATCAGAAGCTAACCACTTGGAGAATCATATTTGAGAGGTCAGAAAACTCCACAGTTAAAGATCGGTTTATAATTTACGAAGAAAATAGAAAGTTTTGTTTCTCTGAGTTGAAATTTGCCAAGCACGGCGGGAAATATTGCAAGTTTTTGGCACAAGGCTTTGTGCTTTCCTCATAATTTGAGATCTGCGTGAAGCCTGAGGGTTCGGGGATCATTATCTGAGAAAAACCGGGTAGTTCGGTGCAGACAATTTTTATATTTTTGGCTTTTTTTGAGGTGTAACAAACACAACTCGGGATCCGAGAGGACACTCTGCGGCTGCCAGCGAGGCGGGCTGGACAGCGCACCAATCACGGCGCAGCTCCGCCCTATATAAACGGGCGGGCGCAGCGCCGCGGCCCGAGTCCCGGCCAGTGCCTCTGCTTCCGGCTCGAATTGCTCTCTCTCTCTCACGCCTGCCTTCAACATGTCCGAGACTGCGCCTGCCGCGCCCGCTGCTCCGGCCCCTGCCGAGAAAACACCCGTGAAGAAGAAGGCCCGCAAGTCCGCAGGTGCGGCTAAACGCAAAGCGTCTGGGCCCCCCGTGTCCGAGCTCATTACTAAGGCTGTTGCCGCCTCCAAGGAGCGCAGCGGTGTATCTTTGGCCGCTCTCAAGAAAGCGCTGGCAGCCGCTGGCTATGACGTGGAGAAGAACAACAGCCGCATCAAGCTGGGTCTCAAGAGCCTGGTGAGCAAGGGCACTCTGGTGCAGACCAAGGGCACCGGCGCATCGGGTTCTTTCAAACTCAACAAGAAGGCGGCCTCCGGGGAAGCCAAGCCTAAAGCTAAAAAGGCAGGCGCGGCCAAAGCCAAGAAGCCTACAGGAGCGGCGAAGAAGCCCAAGAAGGCGACGGGGGCAGCCACCCCTAAGAAGAGCGCCAAGAAGACCCCAAAGAAGGCGAAGAAGCCGGCTGCGGCTGCTGGAGCCAAAAAAGCGAAAAGCCCGAAAAAGGCTAAAGCAGCCAAGCCAAAAAAGGCGCCCAAGAGCCCAGCGAAGGCCAAAGCAGTGAAACCCAAGGCGGCTAAACCAAAGACCGCCAAGCCCAAGGCAGCCAAGCCAAAGAAGGCGGCAGCCAAGAAAAAGTAGGAAGTTCCTTTGGCCAACTGCTTAGAAGCTCAACACAACCCAAAGGCTCTTTTCAGAGCCACCCACCGCTTTCAGTAAAAGAGCTGTTACACTATCAGGGGGTGTGGCCGGGGGAAAAAAACGATGCCAAGTAGGGGCGGGTCTCCCGGGAACAAAGTCGGGAGAGAGGAGCTGTTTTTGACCAGGGGGTCATTTCGCGTTCTGTCGGCCAAGCAGGAGTGCAGCCGCGTCATTGAGCTTTTATTGCGTTTTCGAATACTGGAGTTAAAACCCATTTCGATCTCTGTAGTACTTAACACTTAGCGAGATCTGGCCTGCAAATAGCATGGGAAAAAAAGTCGGGATTTTCCTGGGCTTCTAGGCTGGGAAGTATGAGTTCCGAATAGAGAACAGTATCCATTTCCGTGCTGGCTCCCTACAGAGTATGGCAAGCAATGAAGGAGTGCAGAGGAGTACGTCTCGACACAGGTGGCATAGTACACTATTTCAACCACTGCCACAACTAAAAATTAGAAATTGACACTGCAGAAAATACTTGGTCCTTAAATGTAGCATTTGCATAGATGAAGGACTTCCCAAACGCAAAACTGCCAGACTTCCAGGGATATCCCAATTACCATGACTTCTGTATGCAACGAGTCCTATAATTTGTTAGAGGAAGAAAGAAAATGTGACCTCTCCCAATCTAAAGTATCTTTCAGTATTCGTTCTGACACCACAACGCTAATAAAAAGTGTGATCTCAAAAACAACTGCTCCAAGAGAAGTGCACAGCTGACTTGTCTAAAGACGACTATTTATAGTAGCCTCGGGTAGTCTGGTCTGGGCTTTCTGATTGGGTAAAAGTAAAGTAATGAAATAGCCAATGAAAAGGTAGACTTTTAAGTGTCGTTTACATTGGCATTTGTGACGACACACGAAAATTAATCCAATCGTAAACGAAATCTGATTAACCTCATTTGAATACCGCATCTATAAATGAACGGGGCATCGGTGGGAGTGATTATTTTCTCAGGTGTTTGCGACAGTGTTGTAATTATTAACGTTGCTATGCCTGAGCCTACCAAGTCTGCTCCTGCCCCAAAGAAGGGCTCCAAGAAGGCGGTGACTAAGGCGCAGAAGAAGGACGGGAAGAAGCGCAAGCGCAGCCGCAAGGAGAGCTATTCCGTGTATGTGTACAAGGTGCTGAAGCAGGTCCACCCCGACACCGGCATCTCTTCCAAGGCTATGGGGATCATGAATTCCTTCGTCAACGACATCTTCGAGCGTATCGCCGGCGAGGCTTCCCGCCTGGCGCACTACAACAAGCGCTCGACCATCACTTCCAGGGAGATCCAGACGGCCGTGCGCCTGCTGCTTCCGGGGGAGCTGGCCAAGCACGCCGTGTCGGAGGGCACCAAGGCCGTCACCAAGTACACCAGTTCCAAGTAACTTTGCCAAGTAAGCATCTTTACACCTAATCCCAAAGGCTCTTTTAAGAGCCACGCATGTTTTCAGTAAATGAGTTGTAATTTCATTCAAAAGGGGGATTATTGGATTTCTCAGCACCATACTACCAATCTTTAATGTTATGTTAGTACTGCAGAGGAAATACTTGGAAATTATAGGTAGTAACAATAGGTACCAGAAGTTGAGTGCTATGGGCACATACTAGATCATTAGCTCATTTAGTGTCAGATAACACTAACATAAACTGAAAGTACTGTAAGTGTACAGCTCTTTCGTTTCCGTGTGCAGATTTCCAAGTTGATCGTGATGTTGATCTGGGACTTCGTGTGGTGACGGCCCACCCTGAGCACAAAAGAGCACCCTTTTGCAACTTCCTTCTGTTTGGAGCTTTCTCCACCATCACCTCCGCCCCCCATTTTCTTGTAAAATTTTTACCATGCAGATACGTGATAACTGCAAGTAAAGGCTGAAGACAATGTGAGCTGAACACGGAAGTATTACAAAGGTTTCTGGTTTGCTTTGTAATTGGGCCAGTTTCTCTCTGAAGCTCTTAGGCGAGTAGGGGAGGAAAAGGCGGATCCTAGGCGCTGAGGTGCAGGAAAAAAGAAGCAACTTCTGAGACACCTTAAAATTATTTTGCTAAACCGTCTTTTTCAGAAAGCTATTTAATTTATAGTTTTCTTTTGGCAGCTTTCAGGTTAAAAGTTCACTAGGTAACGGCAGAAACCCAAATAGTCATTAAGGTGTCTGACTGCAGGTAGACAATAGTTACCGCAGGACTGAAGCCCCCTTTGCAGTACAATTTACCCTTTCCTAGATGCCCCTTAGTACCTAGGACTGGATAAGGTAGAAAGGGAAAGAAAACCTCCTTCTGGCAGGATGTAGCTTCTGCTGCACAAGATAGAATGATGACAAAAGGTTTTCACTGCTGGGGAATGGATGATTGTGGGAGAAAAAGAATCTCAGAAGAGTCGAGAGGGAACAAGGAGGGAGTGGCCATAAGGAAAGGAACCAATACTTACCATGTGAAAATTGTGAGATGGATGAGGCTAGGTTTGGAGTCAAATGTTAGCTGAGATGGAGAACTTAGGTGGTGGATGATCATTGTCTAAAAGACGAATGAGTTTAGAAGTTCATTGTCCTCATGCCCTCAACGTCCTCATGCCCTCATAAACAAACATGAAATCTTGGATTATGGGATACATTTTCCATAACGCAGCAAGCTTGGTACTTGAACGGATAACTAAAAACCTGAATAACAGTTTCTAAATTCTTAAAAGTAACAAAGATGGTCTTAAAAAGTAAAGAGAAATCAGAGCCAGGGATTTGGCCCATGTTAAACCCCAAGCACTACAGCTGGCTTTTACCCAACCTTTAACTTTCATTTTTAGGGTGTTATATGGAAACCGATCAGGGTATATAGGGCCTGATAAGAAATCTTTTTAGGTGAAGGTGAGACACCAGACGAAAATCTGTCACCTCAGGGTAGAAGGATGAACTGGAAATAAACACACATACAAACCCATCACAGATGAATGCAAATAAAAGAGTCAGCTCTGAAGTTGGGTTCTGAGTGTTTCATGTGTCGGTGTGAAGAGATCACCAAACAGGCTTTGTGTGAGCAACATGGCTGTTTATTTCACCTGGGTGCAGGCAGGCTGAGTCCGAAAAAGGAGTCAGCAAAGGGTGGTGGGACTATCCTTGGTTCTTACAGGTTTTGGGATAGGTGGTGAAGTTAAGAGCAATGTTTTGGGGGCAGGGGGTGAAGCTCACCAAGTACATTCTCAAGCGTGGGGAGAATTACAAAGAAACTTATTAAGGGTGGGGAGATTATAAAGAACATTGATCAGTTAGGGTGGGGTAGAAATCAATCACAATGGTGGAATGTCATCAGTTAAGCTATTTTCACTTCTGTGGATCTTCAGTTGCTTCAGGCCATCTGGATGTATACGTGCAGGTCACTGGGGATATGATGGCTTAGCTTGGGCTCAGAGGCCTGACATTGAGCAGTATAGATTCCACTGCTAAGGTTTGGACTACAAGCCATCCTTGATGCTTACTTATTCCTGGCATTCATACCATAGGGATTCAAACACCCAAGCTGAGAATTTAATTTAGGCATATCCCAGGCTGGTTTTGTGCCCCTGAGCACCGGGTAGAAACAAATACAAGTCATCTCTGGAAAACAAGCTTCACTTTACACCTCAACAAATTGCCACAGCTAAAATATACCCCCCAAAACGCACAGCAGCTTCACAATCAAAATTGACCAAACATCATGAAACCAGAAGTATGACTAATGAAAACAAAAGCAACAGACAAGGGGAGCTGGGTGTGGTGGCTAATGCTTATAATCCCAGCACTTCGGGAGGCTGAGGCTGGAGGATTGTTTGAGACCAGAAGTTTGAGATCCTGTCTCTGGGAAAAAAAGAAAAAAAAAAAAAAAAGCAACAAACAATGGAAATGAAAGGAATGAAAAGGGAGAATTAACAAGATACAGACTTGAGACCAGGCACGGTGGCTCACGCCTGTAATCCCAGCACTTTGGGAAGCCAAGGCAGGCAGATCACAAGGTCAGGAGTTCGAGACCAGTCTGACCAACATAGTGAAACCCTGTCTCTACTAAAAATACACAAAAAAGTAGCCGGGTGTGGTGGTGTGCACCTTTAATCCCAGCTACTCAGGAGGCTGAGGCAGTAGAATCGCATGAACCAGGGAGGTGGAGGTTGCAGTGAGCCAAGATCGTGCCACTATACTCCAGCCTGGGCAGCAAGAGTGAAACTCTATCTGAAAAAAAGAAAAAAAGAAAGAAAAAGATTCTTATAAATATATTGAAGGACTAAAGAAATACAAAAAGTGACCACAGAGACTTGAAAAAAGAACCTAATAGAAATTATAGAAAATAAACATATAATTATAAGACAAATTAAAATTAAAAGCTTACTGCATGAGTTTAACAGCAGCCAATTGGACCTACCAGTAGAAATTTAATAAACTATGTAATCAGATCTTAAGGAATTATGTGAAATGCAGAGAGAAAAATGCAAAAGTGAGTTTAAGAAACCTGGAATTAGGGCCAGGGAAGGTGACTCATGCCTATAATCCCAGCACTTTCAGAGGCGGAGGCAGGAGGATAGCTTGAATAATATGGCAAAAGCCCGACTCTACTGAAAATACAAAAAATTAGCCAGTCATGGTGGTGCGTGCCTGTGGTTCCAGCTACTCAGGAGGCTAAGGTGAGAGAATCACTTGAGCCAGGGAAATTGAGGCTGAAGAGAGTCATGATCACACCACTGCACTCCAGCCTGGGCAATGAGAATGAGACTTTGTCTCAAATAATAAATAAATAAATGAAAAGAGACTTGGAATTAGTAGTAAAATATGATCTGGCGTGGATCTAATCACAGTACCAGAAGAAACAATCAGGTAGAATGATGCAAGTGTGAGATTTAAAAGATCGTGACCAATAATTTTCTAGAATGGATGGATTACTAATAATTAAAAATAATATAAGAAAATAAAAATTGAAACTAACGTATTGCTCATCAAAGCAAGCCTTGGTTAAAAAAGTAAATATTTAAACAGAAAAATTGTACAAAAAAAACGGAGTCACTGTGTGCTGTGAATTAATAAACTCCCCAAATTTTTAAAGATGTAATACTGATTTTCAAAATATTGTGACTTCTGTTACATATTGACATATGACCTCACACTAAAGCACTGTTTGAAATTCTGTATGTAGGAGGATAATTGGACAATTGGTTATTTACGTGAATTTTGTGTCTAGCTAACTATCAAATTCTATTAATCCTAATCAATATTTAGACGACTGACTTGATTTTAATTGCATATAGTACTATTATTAGCAAATAAAAATGTTTGATATTCTCTCCAGTAAGTATTTATTGTTTGCTTTCATCATCTTACTGTGCTAGCTACATCACAAACAATATGTCATATTAGACATGCTAGCAGGTATTGTCTTTTTCCTCGTGTTCATAGAAATGACTTCAGTGGTTGAAAATTTATAATTGCCTTTGTGTGTATGTGCATGCATGTGTATATGTAGTTTTCACTGTGTTAATGTAGTTTTTGGTTTTTGTTTCTTTGTTGTTGTTTTGAGACAGAGTTTTGCTCTGTTGCCCAGGCTGGAGTGCAGTGACCGGATCTCTGCTCACTGCAACCTCCACTTCCCAGCCTCCCGCCTTCACTTCAGCCACCTGAATAACTGGGGTTACAGGCACACACCACCACACTCGGCTAATGTTTTTGTATTTTTAGTAGAGACAAGGTTTCGTTATGCTGGCCAGGTTAGTCTCAAACTCCTGACCTCAAGTGATCTGCCCGCCGTGGGGTCCCAAAGTGCTGGGATTACAGGTGTCCGCTACCGTGCCGAGCCCTATAGTTTCCTTCTATTCTTCTTTTAAGATTTCATATTAGGAATGATTTATGAATTTTATTCGATCACTTTGACATCTGAAGAAATCATATGCTTTTTCTTTTTAACCCTGTTGCCATGAAGTGTAGATAGATTTCCTTGTGTTGATTCATACTTTTATTCCTAGTCCAAATCTTACTTGGTCATGTTATATTATTATCTTAAATAATAGCTGGGTAAATTTTGTTAATATTTTTCATGGATTTTTTCCATTTCTATTCACATAAAATCATTCTATGATTTCTTCTTTTTTCTTTTTTTTTTTTTTTAAGATTTAGTCTCTCTCTGTCACCTAGGCTGAAGTGCAGTGACATGATCTCGGCTCACTGAAACCTCCACCTCCTGGGTTCAAGTGATTCTCCTACCTCAGCCTCCTGTGTAGCTGGGATTACAGGCATGAGCTACTGCACGTGGCCCATTCTATGATGTTCTGTTTTGGGCTTACCTTTATCAAGTTTCATTACAAAAATTATGGTGGCTTTGTAAGCTTCATTGTGGGGTTCTCCATCTCTGCTAAGTTATCTATTGCAGTGTAACAAATTATCCCAAAACT